CTGTAAACTGCTTAGAGAGGGCTAAAAGCCCTATGAAGCGGTATATAAGTCTAACTGCTATTGCTATTGCTAAATGACAGGAAAATGTTCCACAATTTTGAGGGAAGATATCTTGACTTCTGTTTAATGATTGGATTACAGGTAGTTTTTTTTACTTGCAATCATAAGTGAGCACAAAGTTTATGTTGTTAAGCAAGCTAATTAAGTGAGTTTTGACCTATTTTACAAGATTTTTGTCACAGCTGTTAAGCAAATCACTGCGGTTGTTAAATAAATCACATGGTTGTTAAATGACTCCAGTTTCCCCTATTGACTTCGTTTATCAGAGGCTATCTGGCAAGGTTCCATATGTATCTTAGTTCTAAGTTCATTCAAAACATTTAGCATGCTATGTCTATGTTATTTATACCTGTTGTTGTATATCAGTCATAGCTTCCCTTTAAACCAAAAACAAAAGAACTGCTTCGTGATTTCATCAGCATAAAACACACCTCAGTTTAAAATGTATAGGAAACAGATTTTAGTAGATATTGTTCTAAAATTCATTTCTATACAGTTTCTTTCCAGGAGTCCTTATTTTCTGAAATCTTTAACAGCGCCCAGTTTGGGAAGAATATGGAAGATTCCTATATGTTCTTGGAATAATTATTTAAGAAAGGTCTCCTTTCACGGTGGCAAATCTGTTTCTACTAAAATAGTTCTGGGAATAGAAACCAGCTGTGATGATACAGGAGCTGCTGTGGTAGATGAAACTGGTAGCATTTTAGGAGAAGCATTACATTCTCAAACTGATGTTCATTTAAAGTAAGTAATTCTTATTGTGGGTAAAAATATGTTTCAGTTGCTATAATTTGCCTAACTGTGTTGCTATTTGTGTGGTGACTGCAGAGGTGGGTTCCTACCAGTTCGCACCTATTCGGTAGAACTGGTTCGTCAAATCTACCGAACCGGTTAGAAGAGGTTCCACCAAAAGACCCGGAAAGCAGGCCACACCTACAGAAGAGGTTCCAAAATTTTTTGAAACCCATCACTGGCAAGGATCTTGTAACTTGACAGCTTTAAGACTTGCATGCTTCAATGCCAGAGTTTCTGAATAGCTACTTGGACCACCCTAAGTACAATTTCATATTTTCATTTCGGGCCACAGGGGCGACAAGCCACTCCCATCTGGTCACATGGGTGGCAAGCCACTCCCACAAAGGAGACCACACCCACAGAGTAGGTTCCAACAATTTTTGAAACCCACCACTGGGTGACTGTGTGTACTGTATAAATATTGCCATTTTTATGTATTCTTTGCATTTTTTCTGTTTTGGAAATCTGATCCTACTTTGCTTTAGAATTAGGGCTTTGAGCTAGGAGTTTGAATCACTGAACCACTAAAGGCATCCAGAGAAAACATTTTATTAAAACTTAATAAAAAACTGTAAAATTTTATTTTATGCTGGTAAAAATTGATTTTTTAGAAAAGGAACATTACATACTTGTAGAATCCTCCTTTGGGAGCAAGGAGGAAGTACAGTTAAGGAAATTAAAACTTACCCATAAATGGAATATGAATTATTTTATATCATGTTTTATATCTCCATTCATAGATATCTGGAAAATGGCCTGTGGTTCATATTAGCAAATTATGTTAGGTTGCTGTCACCCTTTTTCTAGTTTTCTAGTTCTCTTAATGACCAATAATTAATCTCAAGCTTCATTGCTGTTAGGGAAACTATACAGGTAGTCCTCAACTTACGACCACAATTGAGCCCAAAATTTATATTGCTAAGTGAAAAATTAGTTTTGCACCCTTTTATGACCTTTCTTGCCACATTTGTTAAGTGAATCACTGCAGTTGTTAAATTAATAATACAGTTGTTAAATGAATCTGGTTTCCCCATTGACTTTGTCAGAAGGTCGCAAAAAGGGATCACATGACCCCGAGACAATGAAACTGTCATAAATTCGAGTCAGTTGTCAAGCATCCAAATGTAAATCATGTGATCATGGAGATGTTGCAACAGTCGTAAGTGTGAAAAATGGTCATTAAGTCTCTTTCTTCAGGGCTGTTGCAACTTTGAACAGTCACTAAATGAATTGCTGTAAGTTGAGGAGTACCTGTACTGGCAGTATCTGTCAGTAGTGTAAAGATAATATTGCAGAACAATCAGGCAAGACGGGAGGGGGGGGAAGGTGACTGGCAGGACATCAACCCTTCTGCGCTATTATTAAATGAATCTGGGTCCTCATTTTTACCGACCTCGGAAGGATGGAAGGCGGAGTCAACCTTGAGCCTGGTGAGATTTGAACTGCAAAATTGCAGTCAGTTGGCAGTCAGCAGAAGTAGCCTACAATACTACACTCTATGCCAACATATAAAACATGTTGATTTAATTACAATATTATTAGTAGTTAGTAGTTAGACTTACATACCGCTTCATAGGGCTTTCAGCCCTCTCTAAGCGGTTTATAGAGTCAGCATATCGCCCCCAACAACAATCCGGGTTCTCGCATGTAAATTCTTATCAGTAATGTATTAAGATGATGTAGTATATAAAATGATTATGTTATAAAATTATTAAAACCAGGCCTGTAGATTTCACATGCAGATGTGTACTTCTAATTAGAACAGGTGGCATTATTCCTCCAGTAGCACAGCAGCTTCACCAAGAAAATATCGCAAGGGTAGTACAACATGCAGTCTCAGCCAGTGGTGTCAGCATGGAGGATATCTCGGCTGTTGCAACAACTGTGATGCCAGGACTTGCGTTGTGCCTTGGAATTGGATTGAAATACAGTTTAGAACTGGTGAAGAAGCATCAGAAACCTTTTATCCCTATCCATCATATGGAAGCACATGCGCTCACCGTCCGACTGACGGATCACGTCACATTTCCTTTTCTTGTCCTTTTACTCTCGGGGGGTCATTGTATACTGGCAGTAGCACAAGGAGTTTCAGATTTTCTTCTCCTTGGACAAACAAAGGACATCGCACCAGGGGACATGCTTGACAAGGTGATTCATTTTAATATAGATTATTGACATATCAACATTTTTAAGATGAGATTTTTTTTGAGTAATATACTGAGGCACCATCTAAAAGTTGAGTAGGGCTGGTACACTATCAGGGTGTCTGCTGCATGACTACTATTAGGATATAACCCAGGAGTAAACACAGACTTGCCATAGGTTCGCCATCACAGATCTATCAATTTCTTTAAAAAAAATAATGATTAATTTTATTGACATAAGTCAGCACAGTTCATTTATATATGAAGCATATTCACTTGTGCTGCAACATGAAAATCCACATCACTTACTTTGTCAAAACTACACGTTGGATAAGCTAATAAGAAAGATTGCTTTAAAAAATTAATGTTGTAAACTTGAAATGAAATATTTCTTGAATCTGTTGTGAACAGATATATTTTTCTTTTCCTTTTTTTTTTTTTAAGGTAGCTAGAAGTCTTTCTTTACATAATCATCCAGAGTGCTCTGGCATGACTGGTGGGAGAGCAATTGAAACCTTGGCTCAGCAGGGTGACATTCTGCGATACAAATTCACAATCCCCATGCAGCGATACCGTGATTGCACCTTCTCTTTTGGTGGTCTGCGAAGCCAAATCACTAGAAAGATTTCAAAAGAAGAAAAAGCAGAAGGTATTTGCCCAAAGAGGCACAAACTGTATGGGTTTCAATGGTGGGTTCTGGATCCCGTTGCAGTAACCAGTACAGTGCAATGGAGCTGGGCGTCTACCACATGAACGCATGCAGTGTGTCATGCATATTTACCACCTGTGACACTGTGACGCCTCCGTGATGCTCCAGCTGCTCGGCGGAGCATTGCGCAGGCGCAGTACACTCCGTGTGCGGAAGCCCCAAAAACCTCAAATACCGGTAAAGAACGCGGGGGGACAGGGGGCCCTCTAAAGCACCGTACCAGAATGGTACCTGGTGCTCCTGGCAGGCAATGGTACGCCGGTACTGGGGAGTACTGTTCGTAACCCACCACTGCATGTCCTGTGCTTTGAAAAAAATCTTAAAGGTAAAGGTTCCCCTCGCACATATTTGCTGGTTGTTCCCGACTCTAGGGGGGGGGGGGCAGTGCTTATCTTTGTTTCAAAGCCGAAGAGGCAGCACTGTCTGAAGATGTCTCTATGGTCATGTGGCCAGCATAACTAAACACCAAAGGTGCACGGAACACTGTTACCTTCCCACCAAAGGTGGTCCTTATTTTTTCTACTTGCATTTTTACATGCTTTCAAACTGCTAGGTTGGCAGAAACTGGGACAAGTCATGGGAGCTCACTCCATTATGTAGCGCTAGGGATTCGAACCGCTGAATTGCCGACCTTCTGATTGATAAACTTAGCATCTTAGCCACTGATCTTATCTGATGGTAATTCCTGCAGGCCTTCAGGAAGGGCGACACCTCTCCTGTCTTCCGGACATTGCTGCGGCAGCCCTGTATACCATGACTGTTCACATTGTTGAGCGAACCCACCGGGCTATTCTCTTCTGCAAAGAGAAAGGAATCATACCCCCAGGGAAAGAAACTTTGGTAAGTTCTGTGTGAAGGTTACACCTTTCATTATCTCAGATTCTAAGACTGACTGCTTCTTGATCGTGGAAAATAGTAAACTGGCCAAGGAACAGACTCCAAGTAAGATCAGGATTTGCTATCATGAAGGAGGTAAAATATTCCAGGACTGAACTCTGCTTACAGTTGGAAGAAATTAGTTTGAAGAGAGACTGTGCCTATCTGTTTGGCTGCAGATATTCCCTTAATTGCATCCTGGGCATTATAGCCTTGCTCTCACTGCTCTGCATCCCTTGTTCACCAGCATTCATTGCCTGCACAGGAATATTGATTGGGAATTTTCATTCCTATTTTAGGTTCATTTTGGTATCAAGTATCTTTTTTTTTTTTAAAAAAAAAACCCTCCTAATATAGAAAGTACCAGATCAGTTATGATATTAAAAACAAAACCTTC